TCGCCTGTACTTGTTAACATTTCTTCCCCACAAATATTGCAAGAATCCAATACTTTGGTTTCAACTCAAGCTCTACATACACAAAATGTTTTAGTTTCTGCTCCTATTTTGACAACTGTCAATTTGTCTCCATTAGTTATTGAAAACTCAACTCCAGTACCGCCTTCTTGCGGTGTGCCAAACGAATTGGCAAATATACCTTCCCCAACTCGTATACAAACTCAAGATATCTCTCAACCTGAAACTTTAAATGCTCTAAATATACGACAGGTTAATAAACTCTCTATTCAAGCTCAGAATATATCAACTCTCACCTTGTTACATTTGAATAAAATTCCAACACAAAAATCTATCGACTTATTATCAATTGCAACACCTTGTGAAGAAGGTGATGTACATGCCGATTTTTTGAAAATCATCTCTCCTCCGAATAAGTCCATACCTCCTCCACTAATACACGAAAATCAAATACTCCTCTCACAGCCTCGTACTGACATGGCTGTCATCAAAGTTCTCTCAAGACAAACTTTTCTTACTCATACCACCTTACAATCTAATTCATTAGACTCATTCAAACCTTCATTTTCTTCTGTTACTGTGACCCTACCATTAGTAGAGAGCCAAGTAACAACAACTCATGCAGTATTCGACAATATTCCGGATTTGATGGCTCAGTCTGTCTTACCGCCTTCTGATATAGTGAACGTTAATGAAACGTGCCCTACTCCGTTGTTTACTCTTTCTCAGGTTCAAACCTTTGCTAAACAAACCACGCACTCAGTGGCTTCTCATACTTTAAAAAGTTCTGCAAATATCGACAATATCTTGACCAGTGCCAATAACTTGAAAAGGATACACATACATTACTCTCAACTATGTTCACTTTTAAAAACTCAGTTTCCAATTCTATAAAATATATTTAAGTTCTTGTGCTTTTTCAAATAAATTTAATCTGATATCCACTTCAGAAGTCAATCTTGACTTAGTTAACAGTTTCTCTAAGATCTTAGGTATTAACAGGTCACCGTATCAAGACGATTTCTCTTTTAAGTTGCCTGTTTGCGAAAAGGCGCCTCCCTTAACAAAAAGAAAATTATGTGCCTATGTGTCTCGAATGTATAACTCGTTAGGAAAACTCTTATCTTTGAAAGTACACTCTAAATCTTTCGTAGAACGCCTCTGGTCATTGCCCTGAGACTGGGACAATGATATATTAGATGATCTATCAATCTCGTATTGGAAATCATTATTGGATACATTCCAACCAATATATAAAATTCCATTTCCCAGATGCCTGACGCTTCTACTGCTTGTAACGCATATGCTACTACGACAAAGTAGGAGTAAGTGGGGCATCGCTACTGATCTTTTAAAGATATGTGATGTGGTAGTTATCAAAGATGACGAGATTCCCTCATTCCTCTGGCCTTTGTCAAAATCAATAGAATTGTTCCCAGGCAAGGATTCTCTTGCTCGAACAGGTGTACCCACACCTAATTCCGTATACCTTAGGTTTATAAAGAAAGCTAGGTTACCCTTTAACCAATAGTGGCGCTTTCAGCCATATATAGCTTCCTATTTCTATAAGTTAGACTTAAGTTTCACTAGATTTTAAATAGTTCTTAGTTATTTTAGTTTCTACAACAATCTTTCTAATCTATACCGATTTACCCTCACTCTCTAAGTAACTATTTGATACCCTATCCCAGTGGCGTAACTCTTCTCGCGCGCCCCCAGTATGTTCAATTTTCTCACATGCGAAAAACCATGTCATTTTTCGCTGTATTATTAATTATCCTTATTTCACAATTTTACAATAATTATCTTAGTCCAACCCTTGATACCCTTTCTATTACATTTTATCCCCTCTCCATTAGAAATACAGACAGTTAAGATAGCAAACAAGACGACTCTCTTCATCATCAGCTGTCGATAAGGACAGATCTCTCTTGATGGTCGCCCGTCGTTAAGGACAGACCATTCTCTCAACTCTGTTAGTTTGGCCATCACTAGTGCCAGACGTCCTCTCTCATTCATTATCTCTCTCTTCGCTTATGAAGAAGAACAGCATCTATTTTGGCTGTTTTTCTACCGCAAATATCTCTCTCTCTCGCCTTAGTTACGCAAGAAATACTGCAAACACTATTTTAAATCGTGTACAGACAAAGTGTGCTCTATCTCGCAAAGTGTAGTACCGCGAAACACGTGTTTAGACCAACCGCGAGTGTGTCCGGACGTATTCCGCATAAGAAAAGAAAAAGCGCGAGAGTGTGGAGCAGAAAAATATTGGTAAGACTTTTTATACACTTAAATTACTATTGTCTGTATACCTTTTATTACTTATCCTTATATTATTGAACCAGCCCTATATAATACAGTCCACATACACGGAAATTATATTAATAATTTCCCACATATGTACACACTTTTTGTACAGTATAAATTTATTTATAAAATAAAACTGATTTTTTGTTAGATTAGAGATAATTAAAAACCTAACCTAATTTTCGCATGAGTTTGAATTATAACTATATTTAAAAAATTAAAGGAGAGTAATATAAATTCATTGGTTCGTACCTTAAACTTTTGTTGATGTTACTAACTCTCAAAGAATAATCAATTTGCTTCCTCTTCTTCTTTTTATGTTTCTTTTGTGCAATATTCTCAGCCTTTTCAGTGTCTTCATTAATTCCGTCATTTGTTTTTTTTTCTTCTTGAAATTTAACACGTCTTCGGCGTTGCTGACTATTTTGTTGATTTTGTTTAATACCAGCAAGAGATGCACTACGATTACTCAAGCGCTTTCTGTTATAAGGCCAATAAAAAGGTCTATGGACTCTAATAATTTTATCATTTGGAACACACAATGTTGTGTCCCTTCTTTCGCTAAAATATAATGTATTATTAATTAAAACAAAGATTCAAAAGTAAATATTTCAATACTAGTTACAGGTTATTTGGAATTAAAAAAAGTTGTCAAATGTTTTTAAATCGGCGTTAATGTATGGAGACTTCAAACACTAAATCGTATAAAATCGTTGCAGGAAATATTCCTTTTAGTCTATTTAAAACTTACATTGAGATTTCATTTTTGAGAGCACGCAATTTTCTTTCTTTTTATGTGTGGGGGTGGCTAATAAAAGCTTAAGTTCAAGTTTGTGGAGTCGTCACCCTTGTCGCCTGACCGCCATTTTCGTCGAAAAAGTGGTGCAAAGGGTTTTTGCACTCTAAACCATTATTTTTTTATTATATACTTTTTTTATTCATGTAATTTATTATTTTGTTAACATTTCTGTGGTATTATTAATTTATTATCGACCTTTTCTCTACCACCTATGAGGTAGAGTCTGAAGGTGCGTTTTTGAAAGTGGTATCCCCATTAGGCCTAATTCACTGACAATTTCCAGACGAGATAAGATTGAGCATAATTATACCTTTAAAAAGTTGTTTTTAAACAACAAGTACTTAAATCTACTCTTTTTTTTAACTATCTATCTATATTTTATCTATCAACTAATGCACTACAACTAACATGCAACATCACAGCACTATACTCTGATTTTTAGACTAAACGGTTACACATTTACACTAACTCAATTGGTTTTGTCCTTATGAGTCTTCACTTTATTTTAGTGTTGTCAAGAAGCTGGACTGCCTCGACATTCACATAACTATGAAGCCTCTGCTCGTCACTTACTGCTGTTCTCTTGATTACTTCGGTCACAGGTTCCATACCCAGGTCCTGGTGTAGGTTGCTGTTACGAATATACCAATGAGCACCAACGACGTTCCGCAGTACTTTGTTTTGAAATCGCATAATATGTAGATTACTAGCTTTGGTACACCTTCAGAGTTGTCACCATATACCCCCATACTGGCCTCAATACTTGCTTGTAAAGGGATAATTTATTATGAATGAATAATGTTGAATTTTTTCCAATCAGCCAATACAGTTTCTTATATCAACATTTGGTATAGGATTTTTTTCTTTCTATTATTGGTTTTAATTCGCTTTATTACGGTTCCGCTAGCTAACTCAGGACCTTTGTGTAAAATTTTGACAAATTTAAGGTTGCCGATCATGTAAGCGATAACTAATATTGTGTTGCATCCAAAAAAAGCATAGAGAAACAGCAAAATCTTCATATAAAACACTTAAAGGACACTATAATTGATGCGACTTACACCCTGTGAAGGTTTAAAACAATTGGACACGTTGGACACACAAGTTGGACGGAATCATAAGCTTGGAATGCAGCAAGCTCAGAATGGATGATGACTGTATTTGCATCAGATTCAGTTTGGCAGACACTAAAACCCACTTTTGATAGAGCAGTTTTTAGAAGGTCTATTAAGTTTGTTTTGTTCTCTTTATTACCAAGATATCTCTGTCCATTGGTGCTGTTTTGTACGATGCAAGCGTACGAGGTGGGGTAAGTTGTGTTGGCGGAATGGGCCGAAAATAAAATAATAATAACATAGGAATGTTAAGGAAATAATATATTAATCAACAAATATTAATAGACAAATCAAAGAATTTAAAAAGAAAAGTATTTTTGAAGTGTGTAAATATTTATTTCCTAGCTGAGCGCTTCTTACAAAGCCATCTTCAGAGCTATGCTACAAGAGAACAATGATGTAAATAGCTAATTTTAAAGTTTACAATGTTTCACTTACAATGAAGTAAAGTAAGTATTTAAAGTATCCCTACTAGGAGAGATCTCATTTTCTTTTAAGCTGGTTCTATTACAAATTTTGTTATTTTCTTTTGAAAAAACACAAAAAGAGACTGTACACTGGACTCTACAAAAAACACATTCAAAAATTTGGTTATGGTACGCGTGTCAGAACCCGACCATTTGTTGAGGTTGAAGAAGATAGAATGAATGAAATCGAATGCCAGCCCTTTAAATGATTTCTCAAAGATGACAACTGACGTGTGTCATTAAAAAGTTAATTACTATTTAACTGGGAATAAGCCACAATTAAAGATAAAAATACGTTTATTGACGTTTTAATTTCCACTTCGGAAATCGTTCTCAAAATACAAACAGTAAATTAAACAAATTTTGTTTTTTGTTACATAGTGAAAAATTCTTCTAATAATTGAATTTTATCTGACTCATTTATATTGACAATTCAGACATACATTATGCATTTTAAAGTAGACGACTTTAAAATGATATTGCCAATATTGTTGAGTTGCGCTCCTGGGACGACTTTACTTATAAGATAGTTCATTCGATTACATGAAACCAACTTTAACTTGAGAATATCCGTCAGAAAAAAAATCATAGCATGTAATTCGTCTTTAAAAAGACAATCACATGACATGATGACAGTAAAATGCTCCTGTTAGTGATTCCATAGTAAATTATGAGGGAAAAACCAGGAAAAAAACCTCATAATACTATCCCGACATTGTAAGTATTTGTTCGTGAATTTAGTTTACCTTCAACAAACATCAAAATTCTGATTTAATATGTTACGTTATTTAAAAAACATAAATGATGTATCCTCTATATTATGTTACTGACTTACTAATCTGGTATTTTCTTATTAATAACTTCCTCTTTCAATATTGGTAACCAGATCCTACTACATTCTGCCGAGGAATTTGCGACACAATTGGCCTCATTCAGCATAATTAGAGCCGCTTCTTTGATTTTTCTTTTTTACCATCCGTTTCTTTTAGGACTACATTTGAATTATTCCATTGAACCCCATGTTCATTATCCCATGCGTGTTTACATATTTGAGATCTATCAAATTCTCTATTTTTAATATAAGATTGATGTTCACTTATTCTAACATTTAATGGCCTTGATGATTCACCTAAATAAAACTTATCGCATTCACAAGGTATTTTATAAATGCAATTTTTTGTCCTTTCTTGTTCATTGTTAGGTTTGGTTTTGGACAAAATAGATCTCAACGTGTTTGTTGTTTTGAATGTTGTTGAAATGTTAAATTTATTTCCATTTATGTTTTTTAAATAACGTAACATATAAAATCAGAATTTTGATATTTGTTGAAGGTAAACTAAATTCACGAACAAATACTTACAATGTCGGGATAGTATTATGAGGTTTTTTTCCTGGGTTTTCCCTCATAATTTACTATGGAATCACTAACAGGAGAATTTTACTGTCATCATGTCATGTGTTTGTCTTTTTAAAGACGAATTACATGCTATGATTTTTTTCTGACGGATATTCTCAAGTTAAAGTTGGTTTCATGTAATCGAATGAACTATCTTATAAGTAAAGTCGTCCCAGGAGCGCAACTTAACAATATTGGCAATATCATTTTAAAGTCGTCTACTTTAAAATGCATAATGTTTGTCTGAATTGTCAATATAAATGAGTCAGATAAAATTAAATTATTAGAAGAATTTTTCACTATGTAACAAAAAACAAAATTTGTTTAATTTACTGTTTGTATTTTGAGAACGATTTCCGAAGAGGAAATTGAAACGTCAATAAACGTATTTTTATCTTTAATTGTGGCTTATTCCCAGTTAAATAGTAATTAATTTACAATGCCACAAGAAAATAGCTTCAGAACAATATTAAAAAGTTAAGAATATTAAATTATCAAAAAATTTACCGAAGAATCCAAAATTCAGTTTTTTAAATCTTGTTTTACATAACATCATAAATAATAATATGTTGAAAATTAACTGAAGGTCAAAGTAGGTTTAATCACTAAGTTATCCCCAAAACAAATTATTTAAATATAAAAAAGAAACTAAATAGATTGTAATGTTTGGGCAGACACGAATTGAGGACCAAAATGAAATTTTAAGTAAGGTTTACTTTTATACCTGAAAAAATCGCACGAATTGATAACGAAGACTTCTGATAAAGAAATCATTATAGAATATAGAGTCCGACAAACTTAAGTTTGGGAATGTGACGTACTGTTTCGCGCAAACGGGCGGACCGTTTCTACCAGTGGCGGATGGAAACCGGTAGCTTTAAAATAAATTTTTATAAGTATATTCAATTAAAGTGAGAATGAATTTGTCAATTTTTATTTTTATAGTTTTTAATATTTATGAAGTTTATAGTCAGGCATTCGATAAAATAATGAGTAAACTATAGGAGTACTTTAATAAATAACAAATTCCTCCATACTTACAATTTATTAACATTGCCAGGAAGAGAGGAAGGATTTCAACAACACAAAAAAATAAGTAATTTATTTTAACTAATTAAATAATGTATTTATTTTTTAAACAGTAATGATTGTAAAGACTTCTATGTTTTGTTATATGACAAAGGAATATCACACAAAAACACGTCTATTCCGGAATTTTAATCACTATCTTCATTATCAGAAAGGCTTTCTTCGGATGAACCAGTATTAATAAAAATTGTAAGTGGTCCAACGTAGAGTCTAATAAATGTTTTTTTTGCGATTTGAGTCTTTTCATATTTTTTTACGTGTTTACATATGTTAAACCACTCTTCTATTAACAATTCTGAAAATTTTGTTCTTGCTATATTTTCAACATCATCTATGTTAAATGTTGTATTATGAGTGGCCACTCTACCTTTTACCAAAGCCCATATTTTTTCGATAGGGTTTAACTCCGGATGATAGGGAGGCAAGCGAAGTACTTTATGTCCATGTTGTTCAAGCTCATAATCTAATACATAAACTCGTGGAAAACGTGGTTTATTGGCTTGTATAATTTTTTATAATTCCGGTTAAATTGATTTCTTTAAAGTTTTTCCATTTTGATTTGCCCAGTGGTATGGTAGAGTATGGCTGGTGTGTATATATAAGTATAAACTATGGTTCTACCGTCAGATCGAAATTCAATTAGCTCCTTTAAATATTCTATTCGTTTTAAACAAATTTCATATTTGTCCATTAAG